TGAAGGCAATTCACTGCTGCTAAAAAAAGAAAGCCTCATGACATTCGGCAGGGCCTGATACCAATGTTTTGGTTGAAATTATTAAAAAGGGGCTTGTTCAGACTACATTCACGGCGAATGTGAACCAAATCCCACAATTGCGTAACAAGTAAATGTGCTGATTAGCACAGAAACATTGTTATTTTTCTTAAGATGAGCACGCAAAAGGCCTAATTTTGTGCAACTATCACGTCATTTTCCTTCTTTCATTGCAACACACGAGCTTATGAAAAATGTCATTAAAAATGTGGTCCTCCCCCGCAGCCGACGGCTTTTTTTTTTTTACCGTAACTGCGGCTGCACAACAGAAACGTGCGCCATACGTTCTAGTCAGGCGTTGAGAAAAAAAATCATAAATAATTAAAATCTCCCCAGGAAACTACGCTGCACGGAGTAAGGGATCGGGGTGGCGACAATTGGATCTGGCTTTTCTCTATGCGATGCGGAGGAGACTGATAGCATTAGCATGCCACCAACTCCATCCACGAGGACGATCATTCACAACCAAAAGCCGTGTAATACACTCACAAAAAGCTCGCGCCACGCAAAAGCGCCACAAGGTTTCCATTAGATGCAGCCCCATAACCCTCCAACACCTTGATGCAGGCAACTTTCGTTTTCAATCTAAAAGGCCAATCGAAGGTAAGTGATAGTAGCACCAGTCAACTGTAAGAACACAGACACACATATAGGCACATTTAAGCACTTACAAATGTGCGTCAAGCTGCAAAAGTTTATCAACGAACAGTAAGTCAGAAAGAAGCAAAGGTGTCGCATGCAAAGTAGCCATTCCACCAGGAGCATAATTGCTCCTGGTGGACGTGCCCAACTAAGAGGCGTTAATTGATTTACGTGCTCCATCAGCGCTTCAGCTTCCGTCTTTCCGAGCTACGAGGCCAGCAAGTACTGTGCGTAATCACTTTCTGTCCATCAGGTGAGGCGTGACTTCCCAGAAGCTCATCAAAAACCTCCTTTATTCGTTTTAACTTTCTTGTTTTACTCGCTCGCAGAGTTTTCGCTTTATTCTACTCATCAAATTGCGCACCACGTGAGGCCTATCCTGGAAATAATGTGCGCGGTACCATTCATATTACCGGTTCTTTTAATTATATTGAAAAGCAAAAATTTCTTGGGTGACCTATAAAACATGAATAAAAATAGGACTGATTACACTCTCCACATCTAAAACATAATTATAAGGCTCACCATACAGGAGGTTATTTTAAGATCTGCTGCTTTACTTGACGAGTTGCGAAGCGCCAATTAAACTCTTATAATTTTACATTGCAAATTCGTGGTATGACTGCGTGGAGGACCGCAAGAATGGGAAAGGCGGCGTTTTTAGACTAATTTCCACCACACGTGCATTAGTCCGCATTGTGTAATAAAATGGCTCATCTGTTCTGTATTTTCGTACCGACTCCTGTCATGAAAAGCACTTCGCCTGGAAGAATAAATTAAGGATCAGCGCTGAATCTGTGGGCATTGGCTACCTCGTATTCAGTTCTTTGGAGCAGACATTTCTTGAATCATCGCGACCATCTGGAATCCTTTAACGGGCCCCAATGTTTTTTGTACTTTACCATGATCGAAATGATTCGTTAATCGTACCGGTGACACAGCAACACGTCGTCGCCGCTGAGAAACAGAGGAGTAATTTTTTTAGCGGCTATGCTATTTCCTACTGTTTCCTCGCAAGGGGGCGAGTCTTGCATCACAAAGTGAATGTGAGACTGAGTGCGTGTTTATTGCATACGCGCAGAGTGTATATATGTGGGTATTATCAACATGCAGCGATGCAAAAAATATTTCAGAAACGGGGTGGACGCCATCAGCGCTCTGCCCTATCTTCCATCTTCCTGGACACCTTATCTATTCAATGGCTTCCTCGAGCTGTCAACTTAAATATTGTTTTCCAACCAACTTTCAAGTGTTCTACATTCTCGAGCCACTTCATCAGAGCCGCACCACGCCCTGCAGCTTCTTTCACACTGCGTGGGCTTTGGTAAACACCGAGTTTAAGCATGGGCTTCTTTTTTTTCTTGCTTGTTTATTGTTCGCATTCCTCCCTTGTTCCTGTGCGAGAACCACTGCAGCACTTTCTTGAAATGACAGCAGCGCTCCGCGGCTGTCTATTCGCGCGTGCACTGCACACAAGGTCATTGTTAGCTTTAGCAAGGTTGGCGAGGCGAAAAGAGGCACGAACAAGAAAAACAGGCGTAGCGGAATGTTTGACGTGTCGCCGAGCGCGAGTGCCACCCGAGTCCGGTGCGAGGTCAAGCGGGCGTTCACTCGTCCCGGAACACCTGTAGTGACGAGCGTTGCAAAATGACTTCACTCTCTAATGAGTCCCTCATTGCAAAAGAAGCCACTGTCTCCTGACTTTGTTCTAAAGAACGAGAGAGAAAGGAGAAAAAAGGAAGGCAAGGAGGTTAACGAGACGCTAGGATCCGGTATGCTATACCCTACAGTGGGGTTGGGGAATAGGGGGTTGAAAGAGAGAAAGAAAGAAAAAAAGAAAGAAAGAAAGAAAGAAAGAAAGAAAGATACAATGTAACCAACCGAAAGAACTACTCGTACGTGTTCAGTCTAAAAAAATATCCACCGTTGATTTAAGCACTGTACGGCATTTTTTTTTTGCCGTTAGAGGCTGAAGTTGCATCTATCGCCATTACGCAGAATGAGAAAAAAAAGCACGGACTGCTCAAATTACTTGTTAAGTAAACTACAGTACTCACATTTCTAGAACCTCATAAAAATTTAGTTTATTCGAAACTGTGTACTTGGTTAAAACAAGCCTTAAAGTGTGTGTCATGCGCAATTAAATTGGTTCAAGCAAAGTGACTCCCGTGTGAAAGCTACTTCAGTCAGTTGGTTCACATTCAGACTGGGTTTCTGCGTCTTGTTAATCGGAGTTTGAAATTGTCCGGATTTAGACTTCCCTCATCGTACTTTACGCACCACCGCTCGGGTGATGGTAACTTAGCAGCTGAATTGTCACGCACCTAAGCTCGAGGGCGCGGGTTTGATTCCAAGCCACGACTTCCGCATTTACATTACAATTATTTCTTTTAACATCCCCTATACTTCTCTTGTAATCATTGTGTCTAAGAAAGAAAACAAGCCATTGAATAAGTCAAATTTCCTTCACAAATAGAGATAAATAGAGGCAGAAAGATAGATATAAAGAACACAGGAAAACGTAAAAACAAAAGAGTGGAGGAAAAAAGAAGAAAAGTATCAAAACACTAAAGGTATAACCCTCAGCTCCACCCACCCTTCATGCTTGGCGCCACAATTTTGAAGCTTTTTTTTTGTTCCAGTCGGGCGCAGGGACACGACTCTTTTGGCCACATTTTTCTTTTTTCCGTTTGTACTTCTGAAGAATGCAATAGGGTGTTTTTAAACAAGAACCGAAACAAGTCACTCTATGAGTGAATGAAATAACGATTGGGAATTTGTTATTTATTTAATTTATTGTTTACAACGTAAAGAAAGCAGCAGCTAATGATTATAAGCTCGAAAAAGGCTTCTGCTTCTACAAGAACTCCGCATGCAAGCCAGCTGTAGTGTTCTATTGATACAAAATATTCACTACATATGAGAATCAGTGAAAAAGAAGTGGAGGAAAAAAAATCATGCATGCAGCAAATGTAAAAATCTGGTTGAGTACAACTAAAGAACCTTTTCTCTCTACAACAACTAAACCTGGAATCATGAAAAAAAATAAATGACAATACATAAAGTAGTTCTTGTCACATAAACTCAAGATGGTTTGTAATAAGAAAAACTGCCAGGCTTGTGCAGAACGCGCTGCACAGTCGCAGCGAAAACTGAAAGAGTGGCCTTTACAAGCCTTATTTAAAGTGCCTCTCACCAGGTTAGGCAGTTTTCAGCTGACAAGCGCAACGCGTGCACTAGGCGTTAACGATCACGTCTATCAGAATTCGCAAAGCGACGTGCTGCGGGAATGCGTCAAATTTCAAGCTGAGCCCCGCTTGTTCTCGCGTGCTCGCGCCCAGAGAATCAGGCGATGACATAGACGTCGGAATTGTCCTACGTAGGTGGTAGCGCTGTGACGTCAGTCCTCTACCTAGACGACTGTGCTCTGACGGACCCGTATACGGGAGCCCGTGTATCGGCGAGAATGTTTGTGAACTGCAACGAGTACAGTTATCATCTGCTTCTAAACAGTGTTGCCACCATATATTTGTGTTTAGGTGCTGTGTAAGATTGCAGCTTATCATTGAGACTGCAACGTCGCACTTTGTCTGTCCTTCTTCTGTTCTCCTTCCCTTCTTTTCATATCACTCGATTGCTATCGCTGTGCGCGACCGTTCTCCGTTAAGAATGCGAATTGAAAATCCCCCGACGAGCAATGGTAGTAGCGCCTCTCCCTTCGAACATAGTCGACGCTTTTCTCCAGGAATTCCGGTGTGGTCTTGGCGATTGAGCAGGGTCGTGTGAAGGTGCCGATCTTGCAGTGTAATCGCCCGCGGGGCGGCCATCTTAGGTAAGGGAAACCAATAGGCTAAATGATCCAACAAAAAGTAACTGCAAGAGTCATTGGTCTTCTCCAGGATGCGCTTGACAATCTGAACCCCTTCTCTTTCTCTTTCAGCCCCCTATTCCCCGACCCCAGTGTAGGGTAGCATACCGATACTAGCATCTGGTTAACCTCCCTGCCTTCCTTTTTTCTCGTTTCTCTCTCTCTCTCTCTTCTCAGGCAGTCTATCTGACCGCGGGGATGCTTAACTCAATGTACTGCGTAGGAAGTTTTTTTTTTTTTTTTTGCTTTCCAGACCTATTTCAAGGTACGAGCTGTGTCAAAAGGCGATACTGGAATGACCTGTAGAGTGTGTTGCTCCGGTCATGCAGGCCAACGGGTTCCCTTGGCCCATGGGAGCCTTTTCGCCCAAAACTGCAACGAATGGAAACGTTATTCATTATCATGAATGAAGACGAACCTACAAAATGGGTAAGCCCTCTTGTTATTGCGCTTAACACAGATGAGACCCCTTCGTGTCTGCATGAATCCGGGGGACCTAAACAAGAACATGAAGCTTGAAAGCTACCCTTGTAAACAAGGGAAGATATTGAGGCGGAGCTGTCAGGTGTGAATTTTTTTCTTGGCTATATGACAAGGTTTCCATCAAATTTTATTGCACGAAGCTACATTACGAGTGTGCACTTTTACGACATCAATTGAGCGTTACCGCTTCCCATGCCTTCCGTTGGGTTACCAGCGCTATTTCACCCGCCCCGGTAATCTGAGTAAGTAAAAGTTCTGTTTCCATCTGAAATCAGTGGAAGCGATGCTAATTTCGAATAGACGGGGCCGTGATAGAATTAGTACAAAAACTGCAAAAAATGATTCAGCAGGCTCGTTTTTTTTTCATAAACGTGGCGGTTACGCACATATGATGGCCCAGCAAAGTTTGCAAGAAAATATAGCGACAAATTTCAAAGCAGTTCCATAGCAGTAAAATTATGCGGTTAAGCGTTGCAATGAACACAGGAAATTATGCGGTTAAGAGTTGGAAATGAACACAGGAAATGGAGCGGTGCTTGTTTCTGTGAGTTCACCCTGAAAGCACGAATACCTCACACGCACAAATACCTCACAAGATTAGCGCATGATTGCCGCACACAATTACCTAACATTTAGGCCTGCGGCTTCTCTGGTCCCATTGTCTCAGCTCCTTCGTAGTGAGCCACCTGCGTCCGTATGTGGCTGACCGAATCGATCTCAACGTGAAAGTTCCCCCCAAGAGAGCGCTGCTTGTGTCCATTCGCGTAATTAGCTAACGCTGTCCTGTTTCTTACATTGCGACAAACAAGTTCCTTAGCTTTTCGCAAACAAAGCGCGTAGCTTCTCGGGAGGATGTTGCTGCGACTCCGGAAGTCCCCCATGAGAGCAGAGTCCAGCCGAGCGTTGGCAAAATAGTCACCTGCTTATACAACACATATGAACACCGGTGCCGATGCAGAGCAGTCACATGGACTGGCCATGTTGGCGCCCGGCCTTTCGTCCTCGTGCATTCGAGGCCCAACTGTCTGTAAAGTATGCTCGATTCTTCCACTTCGATTGGCTTTCTTAAGAATATCTTAGAGGTTTTAAAGGCGATAATCTTCCTTGGGATAAAAGGTAAGAACAGCGCCAACTAGAGGAGACGAAGTACGGAGAAATAACAAACAGCATGATTGTGCTAACTAACAACTGACTCTTTATTGCTTGAATGCAATATAAATGCAACAAGTCACGTGAACTTTCAAGCCATTCGTCACGATGCAAAGTGTTAAACGTGTTGGCTGACAAAATACAATTGCACCTAGGCACATCAGAGATAGTTAAGCTCCTCTTTGCTTAGTGTTATAAACAGTTCACTAACGCACGTGTCGCCCCTGAGTTTGATCGCGAAAGCCTCGGCTATCAGACGACCGTGCACGTTTTGGTTGGTATCTTCTTACGACTTTGCAGTCTCGGAACTTCGGTGTGCATCCGCACGTGCTGCAATGGAGTGTCGTGGCTGCCTTGCTTTAGACGATGATTTTTAAAGGGTTGACGAAGTCACCGATTGACACAACGTCCCCTTTGTCCAATGTACGTCTTCCTGCAGGAAAGCGGTACCTCACAGACGACGTTGGCCGTGCATCCTACAAACGGATACTTCGACGCAAAAAGTTTTCTCTGTGTGTCTCTATCGGTGGACTTCTCTTTTTGTCAACCGCAACGGCTAAAGTTCAGCCACATCCACAGCGCCCACCAATATTCATCTGGTTTCTGCGTTCATACTTGAACGTATTGTCGATTAAAAAGCAAATATTGGGCATATCTGAGCCAAAAAATCAACACGTCAATATTCTGTGGCGTGTTTATACTATAAAAGACATAGATGAGTAGTTCTGAGGACCGTAGTGCTTATTAGGCTGTGCTGAGAATGCGATACTACGTGCGAAAAGGCGGGTGTTTTCTACGCTTAGCAAGACTATACGGTGCTGTCACCTACCCGTGGCCTTGCATTCTACAAATTATGGCCATCTGAGATGGCACGCACACGCCGCATATAGAGTTAGTATACGGAGTAAGTATATTAACTCTATGACGCCGCGCGCTCGCTATATCGGAGGCCATCCTTTCATTTTCCAAGATTACTGCCAGATGGTGCTCATGTTTCTTCCAGCGCCTCCAGAATACCATTCACTAATTTTCTCGCCCAGAACATCAAATAAACGTTTTATTTGGTCTCTCAAGACAGAAGTCAATCGTCTTTCGACGATAGTTTCAGTGAAAGATGCAGATACGGGGCCAATTTTTTCTTTTTTTTTCATCGTATTGTTGCGCTGTTTTCTTTAGTATGGATTCCAACCAACTTGCCCAAATCTCTGTTTTCCTGTGACTTATGGGTTCGTAAGAGGAAAGCATGGCCTTCTACTCGGATGTAATAAACTGATGGGAACGAGCAACAAGGTAACATCTCGAATAGAAAGCATTAAAAGTAAGGGTATGCGACAGCCCTTGTCGCAGAACAACTGCAAGTCCCAAACAGACAGAGTGGCTCAATAAATCCATTGTTTCTTATTGAACCATCTGCTAAGCACCCAGCGCACCACCTAATAAACAGTACAGAACGGGATATTGAAATTATTGATTATTGAGAGCCGCTGACGTGCACTCGCAGTCTCGGAGAGCTGCGACGATAGGTGAGATAATAAAAGTGTAGAAATGAACAACCTGCGGACACATTTCACACAAATACACGCACGGTGAAACGCAAAAACGTGTTTTTTTTTTAAACTGAAATTACGCGCTTGTCGTAGCACAGGGCCTTGGCGCTGTGCCTAAATAAATAAAAAAACAAGAAAACAAACATGAAAATAATGCTAAAGTGTAGACCCAATACACTCCTCCGCGATTCACGAAGGTCGTCACTTTTTACTTTCGGTGCCACAGTGCCTGCTTCTCGATCTGTGGGGGCTAAATGGAACTTGTCGAGCTTTTTGAGACCCCTGTGTGTATATACTCAATTGAATATTTTTTTAATTTCTTCATTCATTAGTTATTTGTTTATTCATTTTTTTGTTTTTTTTTTATTCCCGCCCAGCGCAGTTTTCTCGATTAGTGAGCGTCTCTCTTTTAACGCGAACGCAATTTTTGCGCGACAAGCTCTTTTCTGCGGGCGAATCTGGCAAGATGTCACACTGTCTTTATTTCAGAAAAACAAAAGAAAATTAAACTTTCCGCCACTCTTCACTTTTTTTTCCCCGCTTGTTGTTTCACTTCACCATTCTACGCTGAGGTTTCCAGCTGAAAGAATTGCCTCAGTCCAAATTGCTGATCCCAGAAAAGACGCGAACGTCACAAAGACCAGGTGTTCAACATTTCCGGATGCCTCCGCTACGGCGTCCCTCATAAATATGTCGTGATTATTTTGGGTTGTAAAACCCCAACTGTTATTATTATTGTGCTTATTTTTACCGTGATGAACAGTACTTCAATAAAACATGATCGGTGAATCCGATTAACGAGGGATAATAAACGAACGCACCTGAGTGACCGAATATGAACTATCAAGGTAACCCACCAACCAAACAGTAATTGGAGCTTTATATCCGAGAAAAACCTCGATATTATCGTGACATGCCCCGTAGTGTATGACTTCGAGAATTTTGTCCAACTGGCTTTCTTTAACGTGCAGCCTAATCCAAGTACACATACCCTAAGCATCGCCACCTTCACCGAAAGGGCAGCCGCCACGGCCGGCATTCGATCCCGCGACCTTGGTGTTCGCAGTCGAGCACCAGATTCCCGTGGCGGACGGAAGAACCACACCAACCTACGGATTATGTATATTACAATTGTGTACGATAGCGGTTTCCTGTATGAAGCTTCTTTGTTTCTTGCGCCCTGATACCCTGTAGTGACTTCATGTCCGTCGCTGTAGTGTAGCGGTGAGGGTGCTTGATTGCTGCCACACAGGGCGCTGGTTGGATCCTGGCCACGGCAGCCGCATTTAGGTGGAGCCGAAATGGCAGATGCTAGTGTACTGTAAAATGCCGGTGCACAATAAAGAAACCAAGATTGTCGAAATTTCCTGAGCCCTTCGCCAGAATCATATCGTGAAGTTGGGACGTTAAACCCCAGATATTATATATTATTATGATTATTTCATTCCTGACGCCATTGTTTTCAATCATGATTTAGCGTTGGCGTCCCGTAAACATTTTGTCCCACTTTGTCATTGCAACGAAGTGTCACCTTGGCGCGGTAATCGAATCACAATTTATCGATTCCCCGCGGCCTTGCTGTTGATAGGCTGAAGTGGTAGTATCTTTATTTGAAATAACGAAAAAAAATGATTACCTAGGCAACACTTCGATTGGAAATACCATCGATTAATTGTTCAAGCAATTTGTAATTCGAAATTTTTATGCATGCAGCTTCAAGTGCACGAGCTAGGTCACTGAAACGAGCTTCATTATCCCTCCGCCACGGTGTCTTGCGAATGTGACGTCACGCTGCCAAGCGAAATGACGCGGGCCCAATTTTCGGTCACGACGGCTACATTAGGATGAAGATCAAATTCAGGAATGCCCGGATACTAGACTTCATAAAGCTAAGAAACCCGAGGTTGACAACACTTGAGGTACTTAATTGCTTCGCGCCTCCGAATTACATCTCCACATTGGCGTGGAAAAATTAAGAGTTTTAAAGGTTAATGCTGTTCCTTGCATCGTATGAACTGTTCTGCCGCTTGACCCACACGGAATGGCACATCGACAACGTTGCATGGATTTAATGTTGCAGCGTACAGTAGACCACAGTCATTCCTGTGTAAAGCGGCACGCACGAATTTCAACGAGGGAGCGAAAGAGCGCGGAAGTGAGGACCTGCGCGGATGACGTATCTTGCTGTGACAAAAAAAAAGTTCATGCTGCTATCTTTTCCTGTACGTTCACACACTAACATTAAATACA